TCAGCGATACGACAGACATCTCCCTCAATACAAGCTTGAATCACATCATCATGCAGTTTTCTGGTCCGTTCACGATCCATTTCTAAACAATTGCCCAGATAAACTCGTCGATATTCTATCCAGGCCATAGGTCTTGCTTCCAGAGGAAAACAAGCACCTGATGGCCACATTCACCTTGCCATTTCAGCATCACAAAGGATCATCGGTATGGGAAACTCAAAAACTTGATACTATAATAAAATATCTGGTGACAGCAGAGTAAAGAGACGAACCGATAGCATCGATAAGAAGACAAGCGGTTTCGAATTGATTTGTCATTTGTGCCAACTCCAGTGCACAGTGTTCCGACAGGTCAGTTGCCAGCAGATCAGCACCATGCTCTATCAGACGTTTAACGGCTGAGACTTGACCCGAACTTGCGGCTACATGCAGTGGGGTCATGCACAGTGCACTCGCACCTGCCATACAATTCACATCCGCTGAAATCAACCGCTTACTATTTTTAATCAGGTATGGCAGAACCGAACCTGCCGGTCATTGTTGACTACATCCGTACAAGGCAACCTTGGCAGAAGCCAAACCCATAAAGAGGCGCCAGAGAATGAAAGGGATTTGGGCGTTCAATATGTTGCAGACACCTCCGAGCCCGTCGTCCACTGAGTACTATTGCACAAAGCATCCTGGCTTAGAAACAAATCTTGTGATGAGTCACCATAAAAACCATCTCTCCAAATCGCCCCTCATAATGTGGAAAAGGCATTCGAAATACCAATGAGCTTGCAATACACAATCAGAATGTAATCGAAATCAAATCGCATCTCCAAATCGCCAGTCTAGATTGCAGTCGAGCATAAGATCTTTGCCCGATCACTGTCATCAAGAAATTGAGAGAAATCGGTCAAGAAAAAGAAATTCCAGTGAGAATCAAACCTCCAGCTTCGATTAACAAATCGATAGTGGTTGTATTTCCATGTTGAGCGGCAATATGCAACGCACTTCTGCCGTATGTATCCTTATAATGCACCTTATTTGGATTCGATGACGTTTGCAGCAAATCACGAAGTAATTCATCATTATCATACACAACTGCCTTCAATTTCTCACATTCAACT